CCTATGCAGGTTGCAGGGAGAATGCTTCCCGTGGGGGCCTGAATTTGGGGCCCCTTCTTCAGCTACACTTGACCCAACTCTTTGGGGTGTAACAAGGAAAGTAAACTAGGCCACCAGAGCAGTAAATGCTAAGTCATTTGGTAAGATGGAAGGAAGCATGTTTGCGTGAGTCAAGTCTGCACATTAGAATATTATAATAAAATTTGCCAATATTAATGTTAATAAAGACTTCTTAAAAGACTTCTGGCAACCAAAGATTTGGGATATGCCATTATTGCTGAAGAATGGGAGAAAACATTCAACAATACACAGAGGGAAAAAAATTCAGCTGTATCCACAAAGGTCCAAACCCTGGTGAGCATTGGAAAATGGCACAAACTCAGAAAAAAAAAAGTTACTTCACCGATAAGTTAAGGCAAAGCTCAACACTTTGCCTCTATTAGTGTTTTAGAAAGGGCTTCTGAATTTTAAAATCCTTTCCTCCAGGAAAGTTGACTGATTAGGTTTTCCTTTATATCTGGGATCCAAAGAAAGCTCCAGACCAGGGGGAAATATTTGCTGCCATGAACTTCTAAAACAAAGAAGCCTTCACTTGGCTCTCCCTGCAGCTTTGACCTTTGGGAAACAAACACAAAGCATTTTCTTTTCTAGCTAAGTATTTACAGACTCTTGGCCTTAAGTATTTTCTTTTTTTGTTGTTGTTATTTTTAAAACTTTTAAGCAGATCATCTTTCTATGTTTTCATGATGCACTTAAACTGCAAACTAAGGTCTGAAGATTTAGGAAACAGCATGAGAGGGAGGAATATTTTTCTTTCTTCAATAACACCCTAAAAGAAAAAGGGAAGAATTCTCTTCTTGTTTCTTCGGGCCTTCACTCAAACCTATAAAACCTCCTGTTTCAACTGGAAATGAAAAAGTAGCTGTGAAAATATCTCCTCCCTGCTATGGGGAGGTGGGAAACTCTCATTCAAGCTGGGATTCAGACAGGTCAGTGGGCCTGAGAAAAACAGCCATGGTCACCGATACCTTAACTCATTTCATAGATGGATGAGATTCTAAGACGCACAATTCTGATATTTCTCTTTGTTTTCTCCCCCACTTGTATTGAATACTTTCCATTAACTCATTTTCCCCAAAAGATTCTGAGCCCACGATGAAAGGACTGTGCTCCCTGTGTCTTGCCCAGAGCCACGGAGAAGCAGAATTCGTGCAATCTTTGGGCAAACCCACCTCTCCCGCCTGCCATGACACATTCCTAGGAGGCAAGAGAGGATATACTCTTTCCCTTTGAGTTTTAAGGAGGGACTTGAGTCTGAGATCTCCTTCCAGCAAAACAGAGCAAAACAGGAAAAAAGTGCAATATTCAACCCACGATAGCACTCAACTGAAAAATGAAGCACAGGAAACATGGTGATCACTAGAGACCTGCTATTTTTCCTCCTGCTTGAAAACAAAGCAGAAACACACACAGAGTGTGCTTCTGATTGTGTTGTTAATTTCTGGTGATAAATAAAAATGAGGTTGATAGCCATAAAATTCTTGGCATTTTGGGCTTTGACTATTCAAGAAGAAATAGGAGTAATTAGAGAAAACGATCTCTGGCATGGCCAGGAGCTATCTCCTTGGGTGCCACTGGAGGTCCCCTGATCCTGGGGTGACAGACCCACAGCTTTCCATATAGGTCTGGGGTGGGGGGGCTTTGCGGCAGCCACGGGGCTGCCAGGGAATTCTCCCATGGGACGGAGCTGTCTTAGCGGAGCAAAATGGCTGCCTGTCGGCGGACACTTTGAGAAGACAGGAAACTCCATGGTTATCTGGAGACAGATGCGGTGACTGGCTGGACAGCCTAGTTGTCGGCTCTCTTTAGGGTATCCTGGTCTTTCCACAGCAGGAACTTCCTCCCAGGCAGCCATTCTATTTAATATGCAAGCACTCCTGGGGGATCAACTCTTTATAAATCCAGTTTAAAAAGGTTCTGGGAGCAGCTTTTTAATAGAAAGGAGGGCAGAAAGTAGGTGCATAAATAAACACACACACACACACACACACACACACACTGTAATTGCTGGGGGGGGGGGGACAGTGACTGTAATTGTATCCTCCACAGGCAGAACAGAATGACGAGGCCTGCTTGGATCCAGCCCTGTCCTCCTGAATAAAATGGCAGCACTTGGCCAGCTGGTTTACAAATGTAATTGTATATTCCAATGAAAACAAAGAGAAGTGGGGGAGGCAGGCAGCAGATGTGGAAAGATAAAGAATGTGGGGGGTTGGAGGGAGCGAGAAAGGGAGTGAGAGGGGGCGGGAGGGCCAGAGAGAGCATGTGAGAGGTGCCGTGGTGGGGCCATTTACGGAGGACCTGACACCACACAGGGGAGGGACTGGCTGGCGGAACCCTGCTTCTCGGTCCCCTGCCTGTCCTCGTGTCAACCTCTCAGGTGCTGAGATTGAAAAAAGCGTCTCAAGGGTTTTATTTTCAGACAACTGGGCCCTAATTAAGAGCACCCTTCCTCCGCCCGTCTGAGGGGCGATCACTTCCGAGGCTTGTGAGGAAATGGGCTGTTAAGTGGATGGAGAGATGGATTTTCAAGGGTCATTCAATTATCTGCAATTTTCACCTGACCCGCTGCTCCCTCCAGCTCGCAGGACCAGCTAGTACGATGACCTCCCACCGAAGGAGGGGGCTCCCGGCCAGAGGCAGCTGACCCTCGAGGTCTAGGAGGGCAGAGCCTCTTGGGACTCTTCCCCCTAAAGGGGGAAACACGAGGAAGACCCAGGGACTACCTCCCTGTGGCAAGATTAGAAAACAGTAGAGAAGAAATGAAAACAAGTACTGGTGTTTTCTCCCTCCCCGAAAAATAATGACAGTTAATATTTTGGTGCATTTTCCCAGTTTGCTCGCCTGGAGTGGGGTGTGTGTGTGTGTGTGACCTTTGTATAATGGGCTTTGTATAATGACCAAGTGTAATGGGCTGTGCCTGGCCTATCAGGACCTGCTTCGTTCACGTGTGGAAGTATTGTGACCATGTCCCCCACAGAGGAGGACCACACTTTGGTGGCCCCTGTGGCTGACCCTTCTGCAGGCTGAGCTGCCTGGTGCAGCCCAACAGCCCAGGCAGGGTCCTGAAGCTGCTGTGCAGCAACATGGGGAGGTGAGAACCCAACAAGGGGCGCTTGACCTGAGACCTCAGAGGGAGGAGCCCTGGTCCCTGAAGAAGCGCTGCGAGCAGTTCCTGCAGGTGTGCACCCCTGTCAGCCCCCCAAGTCCAGAGGATGCTAGTCTAGATTCAGCAGGAGGCCCACAAGTATTTTCCAAAGACGCCTTCCACTTTTTAACTTTTGTGGGGGTTAAAGCCACCAATTGAATCAAATGTGAACTGCTCCTGCTAAAAAGACATTAAAAGCACATTTAGGTGAGCCCCTTGGAATAACGTGGAAGGAAACACAGGCTCCATTTCCTTTATCTCCCGGGGGCTGAGCTGAAGGGTGTCGACCCTGCCTTCCGCTCGCCAATCCTGCCATTAACCCCCAGAGGTTTTATAGGCGCCACCATGTTTAACCACCTCTCCGAGAAGAAAGGGCTGGTGATTTGCTTTAAATTGGTGCTTATGCAGTGGAATCTCTCAGGCATTAGTGCTGACTTGATTGCATTCAGACATCGCTTTGGCGACGGAATGACTGCATTAAATTAGCATTAAGCACAGAGAGTGGTAATTGCAAGACTGTCATTTCTACAAGTGCAAAATTAATGTGTCCTGTAAACCCGGCCCACCGTGGGCTCGGGCAAGCCAGGGACCCGTGGGGTTCTGAGCAGAGCGCGGGGTGGTCATGTCGCTGCCAGAGCTCGGCGGTCTGCGCGAGGTGTTCCTCTTCTCTTTTGTTGTCTCTCGCTCGTTCCTCCAACCCTGCCTGACCTAATTTGTATGCTCTTAGGGTAGCGCTGCCAGACAGGAGCCGGGATGTACAGGGAGTGTTATGGAACAATTCCTCCTTCTGTGTGGCATCTTGTGTGAATAATACCCACATAAACAACCCTCGGCGTGTTCATGAGAGTATGAATAGGCTACTTATGTAAAGCTTCTTATTAAGAGATACACCAAGCGTTTACAGAAAACTTTGCCCAAATGCTATACGTTCATTTAGAAGAAGAAGCGCATCTACTTGCATCTCAAGTGCCGCTTAGCGCAGGTGCCAGCTCGGCCCCCTCCATCCCTCTTGTTTATGTGGGACATCAAGTCACAGGCCAGTTGACGGAATTTCTCCTGGTCATGCGACACTCCAGGGCTGCCCCAAATCACAACATGCATATGCATGGGGTGTGCTTCTAGGCTGCTGATTGGCTCTGCAGGATTTATGCGAGATTAAAGGAATCATCCAAGACTGAAATAACACAGCAGGAGCAGATGGTCTGAGCTGACCGATTAGGTGTGATATCTCAGTATTCCTGCAGCTCGGCCGGAGCTGGGAGCTGCTCACGGAGAGACCCTGTGTCGAATGCTGATGCAGATGCTCATGTGAACGCCGGCGCCAAAACCTGGCCCGAGAGCCTTTCTCCAGAGTCCAGCGTGAGTGCAGGTTCTTAGCAGCAGAGGGGCGGGTATCGAGGCCACTGGGCAGCACTGGCTGACTCACCACAGCTAGGCACCCATCAGAGAGGGCAGCCAACCTGCTGACTTCCCTGAGTGGGCAGGGGATCAGGCCCAAGTCCCCTTTCAGAGGCCACTCACTTTGTCCCTCACCATTAAAGTGTGGTATGGCTTAGTCACATTCCAGTCAGTGCAGTTTGCAAAAATGTGGGGGAAATCCTGCCCCGCACTCAGTTTCTTAACAAACAACACAGATGCGGGGATGATGGAGGAGACTGGCCCCCTGAGGCGGGAGGAGAATTCGGAACGTGTCACCCCGGGGAATAAACTTGTGTACGGCTGGAAGAAGCGTTGCATAGAGGATTTGGGCTTCACATGATACGTCAAAGGCTCCCTGGCACCTTCTCCTTACCTTTGTTGCAAAAAGTTCCGTCGTAAGCCGTGTGGGAGCAATCGCAGGAGTAGCCGTGGTATTTCTCGATGCATTTGCCGCCGTTCTCGCAGTTGGTCCCATAGCTGGTGCAGTGGCCCGAGCAGCCGGATTTGAAGCCAGATGTGACCTTTGCCCTTTCCTCCAGGTCCAGGGTCACCCCATTCATCCTCAGGGAGCGGATGCAGCCCAGGAAGCCCTGCTGGCCCCCGGCACCACCTGGGAACGAGAGAAGGCATCAGTGGCACAGACTCTGCTACGTCCTGTCCCTTCGCGGGCCCTGATGGCGGTGACGGGCATTTGCCTCCATTCTCAAGGGACCGCTCAGTGACCTGTCTAAGTAGAACAAGTCCAAGTTTCCTCCGCCCCAGGCTGCAATGCCTAATTAAAAGAGGCTGTCTTTTGAGAAGCAATGAATCTGCTATAGCAATAAAGGAATTTGCAGATGCACAAAACTTGTATAAGCTGTTCTGGAAGTTCAGTCTGGTTTCCTATAGAAAAAAATAGGGTATAGAAATCCTTTACTCTTATTCCACAGCATTATCTGTTGAAAGAAATATAAAAAGGCAGAGGGAGGTGAGCTTATTAGCATAGTTAACAAGTCCGATAGCAGGAAGGCATCAATCCATTTGAAATGGGATTACAAGTCCTGGTTCTTTACTTGAGAAACACTTTGTGTGGAAGTTCATGTTGGGGGTCCCCAGAGCTTTTTTGTTTGGGGTGGTAGGAGGCTGGGACTGATACTCTTACTTAAAGTCAGCCAGACCACATATATTACCAGGCCAGGTTAGAATCCTTTGTTTTTGTCCAAATGCCGTTGCATGATAGAAGCCAAGTTCATTGTGATTTCCTGAGTAAGCTAGAGTTAGACGGACAATCAGGAGCATGAAAATATTAAAAATACCCTAACAAATTTCACGGGAGGATTCAGCAGTGCATTATATCACAGGAGGGTTTAATTGTGTCTATAATAACCTCAGCTGTGATTTTTTTTTTTTAAAGTAGCTGGTACAGAAGGAGAAACTCAAGGTTACGTGCTTGTCTGTATCCTAGAGTAACAAGTTTTCTGGAAATTAAATAAAATGAAAAGTCCTTAAAATTCTTAAAAGAGGGCCTCCCCGGTGGTGCAGCAGTTGAGCCCTGGGTTGCGAAGCTGCCCGCAGCCTCTGCAGCACTGGTTCGATCCCCGGCTCTCCCCGGCCACCGGAGGAGGGTCCCACATGGTGCGCAGACCTCTCCTGCCGCCCGCTGCTCCCCTCAGCAGTGTACCTTGGTCCGTCTGCCTGCTCTGCTCCCCGCTCTGGCTCTGGTGAATTCTCTCACCCTCCCGTGCTTCTGACTGTACCCAGTGCTTGCATAAATAAATAAATAAATAAATAAATCAATAAATCTTAAAAAAAAGATTTAAAAAAATTGTTAAAAGAAATATCTGATGGCCATTTAGGAAAAAAACATACTGTTAATAAGATAAAAGTCACTCTTGTTGAGGGCTGAGAACTGTACCCCCTTCCAAGTGCTCATGTAGTTTATTTACCTGATTCTCACAGTGACCTGGCAAACCAGGCATTATTAGCACCATCATTCTGCTCTTTGTACAGAGGAGAAGACTGAGCTTTAGAGCACTCATAACTCCCGAGTGGTAAAGTTGTGTTCAATCTCTTATTCTCCAGCCTCTGGTACTAAACTTGATTCTACATTGGCCATTGAATACAGAAGAAGAAGGTCAGGATCAGGGGCCCCAAACAAGTTTCTGGGGTGCAGCTCTTATGTCTTCAGAAGTGGTGTGGCCAATACTCAAGTCTGAGTAAAACTGGTGGACTGGGGATTGATTCTGGTCATGTGTTCTAATGTCTTGAAAATAAGTGTATAAGCTAGTAGGCCCATCAGACAGGGTTGGTGGAGCAAAGGCTGAAGTCCCAGAGGAGGATTAGTGTTTGCTTACACAAACTCTCAGCCATGAAGTAGCAAAGGATTCCCTCTTGATGAGGCCAAGCCTTGCAGCTTTCTCACTGGGGATCACATGGATTTGAGTGATGATTCTCCAGATTATAAGAAATTATTATTTTTAAAACAACATGTTTGATAAAGGGCCAATTGAAGTGAGTCCAGCGCCCTTTTTGACCACGGCAGTGGGATTGTAGATGGAGGTTATTAAAGACAACCACTTTGGAAGATTTTCCATTTTGCAATCTGCTTTTTAGCCCAGATGCACAACTCCGTGCTGATGAAAATTTGGGTCTTGGCTCTGATTTGGAAGAATTTCAATCCATTAGTCACTCTTTTTGTGTTAAAATTTCAATTTGGCTGCTATCAATTTAGTGACTGGCTTTTGTTCTTGCAAAATAAGGGCTTTCCACAAGTCTTTTATTATATAAAAGGATTTAAATTTTCATCACTGGTCAATTAAGACAATTACATCCTATCAAAATATGCTGAAATTTAAAAATTGATTGTATTTGATTATATTTGATTAGAAATATAATAGTTATTCATTGTGGAAACCATAAACATACTGATAAGCAAAATGAAAAAAGAGAATCTATAATGCTACTCAGATATAACTACCTTCACTTTTAGCAAATAATTTTTCTACTTTGATCTATGAACATACAAATGTGTAAGAAAAATAAAACAAAGGAAGAAAAGGGATCATGACAGACACATTGTACTGAAATTTGCTTTTTTTACCTAACATGTCATATACCATTTTTCAAGAAATAAATGTACAGCGAGAACATCTAGTCTAACATCTGCATAGCATCTTATTCTGTGCACGGCTAGAACTGATTTTGCCATCCTATTAACAATGGACTTTTAAGCTTAGTCTAATTTCCATTTTATGTGAGACTATAATAAATATCCCTGCAAAAACCTTTGCATACTTGTCCAATGCTTCCTGAGAAAAATTGCTTGCTGAGTACAAAGGCATTTTAAAGGCATTTGAGATATATTTTCCTGTCAGAAGAATTTATCAATTTTCTTTTCACCAATAGAGTATGTGATTCCCACCCTCATACCATTTTTAATCATGGGTAATATTCTTTTGAATTTATAGGTGAGGGGGAAGTCGAGTTCACTGTTTTAATTTGCATTGCTTCAAATACTGTGAATTGAATAATTTTTATGTTTCCCCCCATTCTTCGTTTTGTTTCTTCATGTCATTTTTTGAGGTACTAGGCAAGGATGTGTTTCTTCTTTATGGATGACAACATCTTGGGCTTTAACTCTTTGTTATAAATTTGACAGTTGTAGCCTTCCAGGTTGTGTCTGTTAACTTACAACGATCTTTCTTTCCTCCTATGAAAGTTTTGGATGTTTACGTAGTCACATTTATTTATCTTATTTGTGTGATTTCTGCCTTTGGTATTAGGTTTATAAAAGTTTATAAAGGTCATACGTGGTGTGTAAAGAACTTCTAGACCCAAAGTGATATAATTCCTCCCCCCTTTTTTTACTATTCCATTGTGTATAGGCATGTGTGTGTGCATGTGCGTGTGTGTGTGTGTGTGTGAGAAATAATTCATCAGACACAGAGTGGAGAAAAGAAAAGGTGGATTTACTGAAATACACTGCGAAGTGAAGGAGTGGGCAGAACAGGAGAGGTCTGCTGCCAAATAACATAGTTTTTCAACTATATATTTTCTTCTAGCAGTTTTATGATTTTGCTTCTTTTAACATTTTAATCTTTGATCTATCTGTAATATATTTTAATTTTGAAGTAAGTCATATTCAGTGGGTCTCAGCAATGGTTGAGGGTCTGAAGAAGAGATTTTTAAAGGACTATTAAGCAAATATTAATATGATAAAAATGAAGATTTAAGAAGGGCCATTGACAGAGCAAATAAACCTGGATTAGATTATATTTTTGTTGTATGTATGAAACATTTACATGTATGTAGTTATAATTATTTATGTATACAAATTTCATTCAATAAGGAATAGTTTCATTCAAGAAGGACAGTTTTTCTGTCTCCCTACCTCTCTGTTCGATACCTTCTGCTATGGGATCTTTTCGAAGTTCTATAACTATCAGTCTGTCTTTGTGCCTTTGTGTTGGTATATCTTGTTATCACACCCATTGACTGTTTTTTGGTTAGTTGTGTGGCTTTCATGAAGTCACTTAATCACTGTCTGCATCAATTCTTCCTGTCGATAAAATTAGGAAGTTGAACTAACTGATGTCTCCAGTACCTTCTAGCTCTAAATTATCCTCTTCCATGATTTACAACCTTTCCCCCTGTGTTTTTAAGTCTCTCTCTCTATATTTCAGCAAATTACTCTCTATCCCTCCTAAATTTCCTTCTCTCTTCTTTTTCGTTCCCTGAACTAGTATCTGATTATATTTTTTCCTCTTCCACTTAACTGGCCATAATGTATGATTGGAGTCTAATTTGTATTTGTTGCATTCAAGATTTATATGCCCTTGTCTTAATTTATAAAGTGGCTGAGTAGAATTCTATCTATATAAAGGAAAATGAAATAAATTATGCTCTTTTATATTTAGATGGTCCCCGATGTACTAAATGGGTCAGTGAGCTAGAAAGTATTTTTACTGACCTAGTCAATATGAGGGGAAATCTTTTGTCCTGAAAATGGTCATTTTATATTATGCCAAAGATGTTAATGCACTAGAATCTGTGATAATTATTTGAGTTCAACTCATGTGCTCTATAGAAATCTTTTTTTGATGACAAATGTCATAAGTTTAAATTGTAGGTCTGCAAGCAAAACTGCTACTTAACCTTTGTTAATTAGAAAATCAACACATTGTCATTGGAGAGAGCCCCCTGCCATGCAAGGGCTTCATGCACATTAGTTAGACCTGTGATAATTATCCAAGGTGAGATGTGGTTTAATTTGTAAATCATTTTTCATGTGAAATGCTATTCAAGTATTGCAATTAAAGATTAATTATGAAAATGCTGTAACTACCCATAATGAATAATACAACCAGCAAATGCATAGAAGACTTGGGCAAAATACTCAGGTATTAAATTAAACAAAAAGGGGAAATGTAATGATGGAGAGGAATTATAAAAGGACACTGTCCTCAAACTTGGAGCTTAATAGTTTTCTAAGGAGCAAAAAACTCTGCCCAGAGAGATGGCCATTCCTTCACCATGGAAAGGCACCAAAACTCACATGTAATATCTAATTTATCCATTCAATAAACATTTCTTTCATGCCTAGTTATAATAAATGACTAGGAACAAGGCCTT